GTAGCTGGCGCTCTGACTCACTCACAGAGTGCTGGAATACAGCGATGGGAATACAACTGCACCATGGACCAGCAGGGAGTCAATTTAAATTCTAAAGAGCTGTCAGGAATATCTTTTGATCTCCCTGCCGGCTCGAAGAGGGGGGCCTGATCAGAGCAGCAGATTATAGAAACCTGGCACTAGCGACGATGCCCTTCGTCCCATGGCACTTGCACCCACAGTCACCACCCCCCCCCGCCCCCCATAGTTTCGCCACAGGGTTAAATTGTAAAAAAAATTATCAGAAAGGAAAACAGAAAGTGAAAAAAGTTTACTCACTATAAAGTGAATTGAAACACAAATCACTAGCAGAAAGATGACAAATGAACCATGACTGCCATAACCCCTGCTATTCACTGCCTATATGATAAGGTCAGCAGTGAAATAGAACGTTAAGCAAGCCTCATTTGTTGAAGGAACTTACTGTTTTTGGAGTGAGTCCACTACAGATACAGCACAGCATTAGGATTTGCAACAAATCCATGGCATTCAAATTAGAGTATTTTAAAAAATATATTTTAAAATGTATTGTACAAATTGTTTTCATATATTGGGGTATATTACAATCCAGCATCAGTAACTGATCAATTACATTTTTGACTTTTGACCAGAATCATGAGACAGTTTTGAAAGCAATCCCAATCCAAAATCCAAACACGTTTTGCTGTTGGCATTGCCACCAAAGTCAATACACATTATTGACTTAAAACCGGACCAAACTCCTGATTTATTTGTGCAATGTTGAGTGCGATACCCTGGCATGTAACCCATTCAATCTAAATCAGCCCCATACAGACATGTTTTAAATGCAGGATTAAAAACACTACTAGTGGCTGTCTTACAGACAGCCACTAGAGGGTTCTTCTGCACTTATAACTGGGTTCGACTCAGTTGTGGGATTCTCAAAGCATTTTATTGGATGTGCTTCTCAACCCAATGCTTCTCTTTGTATTGGTGAGAAGACAAGAAAACTATGCTTGCCAGATGATGTCAGAGAAGGAGGAGCTAGAGTGGTGCTAGAAAAAAGGTAAGTAAGAACCTTTTTTTTTCCTATTTAAGGGAAAGCCAAATAGCAAGAAGACTTCATAACATCAGGAATACGTTTGTATTCCTAATGCTACAGTGTTGCTTTAAATGTTATTCATAAAGGGTATGCATATTCTATAGAAGGGCAATTTAGCTCGGTAATGGAAAGCCTACAAATCCTACAAAAGTTCTCCTGTCTTCGTCTACTCACATGCATTTCCATAGTCCTCTTTTCAGTTCTATTACATACTTACTGTCTCCTAATAGCTGTTCTACCTTTTATATAGCTTGCCTGCCTTTCTACTCCACTCTCCTGCCATTGTGGTTCTCCTGCCATTGTGGTTCTCCTGCCTTCAGCTATTAATCTTCCTGCTCTCCATATGTTTCATATTAAAGGTCTTCTGCTCTCATACTCTTGCGCCTGGAATATGCTTGCTAAACACATAGAGGTAGAGAAGTATTTTATGGGAGTACCAAAGATCATAATTCCACTCTGAATTCAATGCTATGATATCCTATTTACAATAGAAGCGTTTCCTCTGTTGAAGGAAGTCATTTCATCTTTGTTCCAGAGTGTTTTGTGATATGCAATATATGGATAGATTACTAACTCATTTCATGGTTTATATTATTTGTGAACCATCTATATTTTATAAGTGGTTTATTGCTTTTACCATTTTATGTTGCAGCAGTGCGTACCATTATTCCTCAAATTAAAACCATTAACCTTACCATAATCTGTAAGAAAACGGCTCTGCGAATTCTGCAATCTCCTAACCTCAAAGATGTTTGTAGATCCCTCCAGCACTGAGAAGTCTAATAGAATTTTGTAAATAGCAGATTGGGAAAATGTCTAATTAGATCATAAAAGAAAAGGCCTTGGGCTTTATATATAGATGGAAAGCTGTGTTCTTTTGTTTTCCCAGAAAGTAAATGAAGGATGTACAGTAAATATGGCAATCATTTGCAAAGAAGATTACAAGAATAATGTAGAAAGCAAAGGTCAGTTTATTCCACATTTGTGGCTAAATGATGTGTGTGTCTAACTCCAAGGTTTGCCTTTACATCATATGTTTAAAAAAAGGCAACTTATGTTTCAAAGATCCAGTTCTTGGTTTCTTGAGTCATGCATTTTGTTAACTCTTCCTTAGAGCCAATTGTAGCAATTGTTGCAAAACATATTTATTTCCACTGTCCCATAGTCTATAACTTGCTTGACTCTATTATATATTAAAATTTAAAAGATAGACTGCCAGAATTATTCACTTGAGTGCGAATTAGAACTAAAAAAGATTTCAGAATGAATATCATAGGCCAAATTGGTTGAATTAGAAAAAATCTCCAATGCTTTTTTTTCAGTTCAGATGTTTTAGCTAAAAACTTTAAAAATGTACTTTGATTTCAAATTGAATTTTTTTGAACATTCTTTATTTATTATTTATATGAATTATTCACAACATAACAGTAAAAGCGAGAAGGGTACACTGGTTGCCACTTTAAACAGTCTTTCAGAGACCAAGTGAAATGTAGCCTGAATGCTTATCATCAAAAACATTGAGACGACCAACACTCTATTGTACTAAATATGCTCAGGTATGCAAAAAGACTGTAAGACAAAGAGCAAGGGTGGAACAGCGCTACAAAAACTGATCACTGGGGGGGCTGCACACCTGAATGGAAAGGTAACCCTCAAAACCTTCAGGAATGAATAAAACAAACAGAACAAAGTATTGAGGTAGCGCCAAAATATAACCAAATTTGTCATAAATAATTAAAAAGGTACCAAGTAAAAAAGATAAAAATGTCCTTTTGGGGTCATAAAAGTACCTTTTTAATTATTTATCACAACATTGGTTTCATCTTGGCGCTACCTGTATCCTTTGTTCTGTTTATGCAAAAAGACTGTGTATGGGTTTATGAGTAGGCAAACTGAAACCAATATTGAGGATCTGTGATCAAACATGGCAGTCTTAAAATAGCCTGATATGTCAGAAATAACTACATCACTAACTGATAGACATCTGTTAAAAGTTTAGAACCATAACCTATGATGACTTAGAAGGCATGTTCCATAAGCCGAGAGAAAAGGAAGACAGAAAATGGAAAGGGGAGAAGAGATGGCTCCAAAGAAGTTTATTGACACGGGTTTCCCAGCCTATCTCTCCTTCATAGTTTACCACCAACATCAAATTCCATATAGGGTTGCCAAATTTCTACTATTGGCTCTTTCTATTCTCTATATTTATAAACGATCTATCCACAGTTTATACTATTATGCACTGTAGAAAAGAAAACATATGGCAACTTGAGGATCTGTTATAACAGAGTATCACAGAGGCTGAAATGTTGAAAGAACAAACTGTTCTTAAAAACCAACAAAACTGCCTGAATGGTGTTTGGTACAAAGAACAAATTACGTAAATTAAAAACAAAATAAAAGCATTCATAACAATGTGAATTTACAACTTTGTCCTTGTTAACAAATAAAAATATCTTTGTATGCGAATAGATCATAACAGTTCACTTGATCTTTGTGTGAATAACTGTCATTATTATTATTATTTTATTATTTATATAGTGCTAGCAAATTCCGTAGCGCCGTACAATGGGTTCTCCACACTTTATTCCTAAATTTGTTCTCTGTTCAGAAATAAATCCTTTTTTTTTAGTAACCTGGTATAAAAACAAATTGTGCAACAAACGTTGTTGGCAGTTATTGACTCTATCATTTAGTAACCTGAACAGCCAGTTTAATCCATTATGCTGTTTTGTATTTCATTGTGATTATGATACCCACTATTATAATGCATGAAAAGGATTAAACCAAGTAAACGTGGAATCCAAACGAACAATTAATCTTTATTTTAAAGATAATATTCATCTCTCTAGCAAGCTTCTGCTCTAATTAAACATTTGCTCCAGCTTCACGTTCCTCTTTTAAGGGCCTCGGTTTAATATTTTTGGCTAATCTTTTGAAATTTTTTTTTTAAATAGGAAAGTATAAAAAAAATATATCATATATAAAAATCTATTACGATCTAAAAATATTTAAATAAAAAAAGTTTTCAACTTTTTGAAAGTTCATCCAAACACATTAAATAATTTGTAAAGCTCAGCAAAATGATTAAATAGTGGCCAAGGCCTGATCTACTTTTGTTGTTGTTTAGCATTGCAAAAGCTAAAAGGTTTGTCTTGTCCTACTTTTTTGTACCATAAATGCTTGTCCTAAGAATTTTATCTCTGAATTCACAAACAAACCAAAACCGTAACAACTGCTAAACTGTCATTTTTTTAATGTTTTAAATACATTAACAAGCACTGTCAATTTTTTTGGTACTCCTGAAGACGTACTTCAAAACAAGAGAAATCTTATGTTCTAAATGAAAATATAAATTCATAGTCAGGCAAGTGGCTTGTTTTAAAATGACATATATAGAAAACAATAAAAAAGAATTGAAATCCTGAAAAGATCAAAAATGGTAATATAAAGCAAAAAGCAAAAATAATCCTGCACAAACCTCTCAAATTAGGTGTTCCGTAACTAGGTGCCCTAAAAATAGGTAACATTTTGGCCTAGAACAAGGCTGTTTGATAAAAGTCTAATATAAGGGCAAAACATCCAGAGTTATTCATTAACGTGAGAACTTCAGGAAATGCAAAGTAAAATCAAAGTGAATTTCAAATTTAAGGCCACGGTAGCCAAAGTGAAAGCATACCTGCCTGGGAGAATTTCCTACGTCAGCTATTTTGACCTTAAATTTGAAATTCAATTCAAATTCACTTTGAAATCCATGCAATTCTCCCTTTAGTGAGTAGTCCTGATCATTAGAGATGTTGCGAACCGTTCGCGAACTTCCCGCGAACGGCTCGCCACGGTTCGCCACGAACCGTTCGCGGCGAGCTCCGGTCAGATGACACATCCCGGCCAATCTCCAGCAGACCCTCCCTCCCAGACCCTTCCACCTCCTGGACAGCATCCATGTTGAAGCGTGGGAAGGTCTGGGAGGGAGGGTCTGCCTTCAACATGGATGCTGTCCAGGAGGTGGGAGGGTCTGGGAGGGAGGGTCTGCTGGAGATTGGCCGGGATGTGTCAGCTGACCGGAGCTCGCCACGAACGGTTCGTGGCGAACCGCGGCGAGCCGTTTGCGGGAAGTTCGCGAACGGTTCGCGACATCACTACATCATCTTTTCAGTTTGGGGACCTAAAAAAGGAATATTTCACTTGAAAGGTTTGTGCTCGATCGCTTTTTATTTTTTGTATTTATTTATTTTCTCTAGAATGGAAAACAGGTTATTCGTAAAACCATACGTAATAATAAATATTCATGTAATATATTTTTTTTAATAAAATACAGCTATATCCTGTTCAAATGTATATGCAACATCTTTACACATCTGAGAATTAAAACTGAAGCTCAAGAGGATGATGTCTCCAAATACCAAGCTTGCATTATTTTCCCTGATTACACAGTACCCTTTCACATTATGTATCATTTATATCATTGGGGTGAGAGCAAGCATTTGTATATATATGTCCTGGTATTCTCATTAACCCCTTAAGGACACATGACATGTGTGACATGTCATGATTCCCTTTTATTCCAGAAGTTTGGTCCTTAAGGGGTTAAAGGGATACAATAGTGTACGGAATACAAATCTGTATTTATTAAACTATACTTCCTACCCCCAGCGCTGTAAGGGTTAAAAAAAAACCTTTAACGCTTACCTGATTTTACCACCAATAATCCTCTGTGTTGGGTCAGTGCTCTTCCTCCTCTGATGTCATCCGACGAGGGGAGCTAATGCACATGCGCAGAGAGCGCATTAGACCATCACTATCGGAAAGCATTGCTTTAATGTTTTCCTATGAGGATTTAACTGACGCAGAGAGTGAGGACGTCCAGTGTTAGGCCACCAAAAGTCATCTAACTACCAGGAAGTGCCTCTAGTGGCTGTCTGATTGACAGCCACTGGAGGCAGTCTTAGTCCTGCAATTTCTTAAAAACTGCATTGATTTCCATTGCAGGACTAAGTGAGACAGTGCACCCAGACCACATCAATGAGATGAAGTGATCTGGGTGACTATATTGTAATAATGGGCTTTACATAACAGGGCAGCAGCTGTTTACAGTTACCATCATTAATTCAGTTTATCTCCCAGTACTGATATACATTTAGAGAAGCTGGAGAGACAGTGTAATTCTTTCCTCCCAACAGTCCTGATTTCAGCTGGACAGTCCTGATTTTAGGGTCCTGTTGTACTGCTTCTATCACTAGAAGCTCTCCCGCTACACTCAGGGCTGAAACAGTGCTCTCTGCATTGTCTGCTCTTATTGGGCTGGCCTGCTTGATTGGCAGGCAGCCTGATGTGCATTCATGCCAGGGTGACCTGAGAATTCTGTGTACAGATCCTTCCCATTTTCTAGGTGTACCTGCCCCCTTCAGACATTGCCTGTGATGCAATTTGCATTATTGCCCCAACCCTTTTTGCCCTGCTCACCAACGTCCAGGAAGATGATGTTGGGGGTATGCCCTAGCTTCTCTCCCAGCATATACCTAAAAGTACGTCTGCATTATGTGCAGCAGCTGCAAATACCAGTGTAACTCCTACCACTCTTGGACAGACAGTCCAGGTGAGGCCCTAAGAGTAAAGGAGGGCAAGCCAAAAGTCCGAGCTTAAATCTGTAATTATTCCTAATAAAAAATGTAACACATAAGATAAATAAATCAGCAGGAATACGGTTGTATCTGTCTTCAAGGTGCTGTGGGCTGAAAATCATATCACTCTCAGCCAGGTTTCACATACAGGCAACGTACGTTACCTACAGCTTTAATGTACCTACAAGTGGTCTTGGTGTTTGGAATATAATTTTAATATAGAAAAGAAGTTTCACGTCTGGCTATGTGTAAAAGGAATGTGGATGTCCTGCAAACAGGCTGGGACGACATTCACTCTGACGTAAAAAAAAGTAAAACTAAAACTTTCATTAAATGAGAATTTGTTTTTTTTAACTTAAAAAAAAATACATGCCTTAACGTTATCATCTACAGCCTGGAGGTTTTTTTTTTTTTACATTATTTGCGTAAATATTTAATGTCCTCATTTGTATATCTATAAATACATGCAGATTTTTATTTTATTTTTTTTGAGGCAGATTCACGGAATTCTTCTGTTTTTTAAGATGTCATTCGTGTATCCGGCTACAACTCTCCTGCGCGTCTGTGAATGTGAGTTTAATCAGAGCAGCTAAAAATAGCTAGAGTAGCCCAACAACCAGGTTGCGATTGGTCGCCAGCAATCAGTTCTCAGCCAATCACAGAGCATGTACAGAAAAGACGTTACATTGTGTGTGAAATGCAATCCAGCGTCAAAACATCCTAAGGCTGTAGAAGTGATTCAGGCAGGGATTTATACTGTGTAGGAAGAGTTTCACGTATCCATGACTTTGCTATAGAAAATAAAGAATCAAGTGAAAATCTGTTAACTATAAGGTCCTATTTGTCAGCTGAGTGATTAATTGCACCAGGGTTGGGTAAAAGAGACACATAGCTGAAGGTGGACAGCTGTTTTAGCTTCATTCTGAGTCTTTTTTTCTATTTTTTTTGCTTTTGTTTTCAATGGAGCCATTGTGTCTAAAGTCATTTTCTGATTATGATTTGAGTCGCCGTGTAACTTTAACCCACCTGTGGCGCTCATGTTTTAATAAAGCCTTCAATTCAGTTGCTTGTTTAACCAAAAATCTTGCTTGAACAGGCAAAATCCCAGAGGAACAAAGAAAATAGAACAAAAAAAAAAAAAACAGCAAAAATGTAATTTGGCAAAATAACATTTAATCAGTTCTGCAAAGTAAAAGGGATATTGTGTGTCCACTTTATAACAACCCCCTCCCCCCCGCCCTAGATATCAGGTTTGCACAAAATGGTCTCATGTTTTGTTTAACACTCAGAACTTCAGAAACTGGCCCCTGAACAATCAGGGGATTTACTCGTAAAAAGAACATTGTTTAACCCCATTTAGGAGCAGGGAGTTAGATAAATTATTGTATTTAATAACATTCTTGGACCTTAATGAGTTAACACATGGGAATCGATAGTATGTTTGCAAATGTTCCACTGTTAATGCAGGGGCTGGGAAAATCTCTTTTGCTAAGGACTTTTTAGAGACTAATTCATCATAGGGTGCAGGCAGAATTTCAGATAATCTTTCAGAGACCCCACAATGGAGGGGGGGCTGGGGTCAGAAGGAGTGTTTGTGCACTGCACAACTATGAAAAACAAACCAGAAACGCAGCCAGATTGCCAACTGTGACTGCTGACATAGCACATAGAAATACAGCCACACAGATACTGCACACACAACTTATTGCAACATCACACTCGCTGGACACTCACTGGACGAGGGTCCATTAAATGTACTTCCATTACTACCTTTAGGAGATTGATAGCTCGGTCTAATGTTTCTAACGCAGACCCCAAATCTTAGATTATTTTGTGTTACTGTTTCCGACGTATACACTAATCAGAGGACAGCAGCAGATATCTGTGCATTTCAAGCAGACAGACATATTTTTGTTCTAAAATATATTCCTGGGTTTTGATGTAATACTGAGAAATTTAAACTGCTTGCTTACAAAGTAAGGTCATAATTAAACGCCTTTTTTCAAAATCTGCTAACATATTTTTTTCTGGTTTCAGAACAATTTGCCACGTGGGTTGCTGGGTCAAATGAGTTAGACTTTTATGTTAAAGCCGACCTGGAGATGAAACTATATCAGTTTAACGCACTTTGGCAATTACATTGGTCAAACATGTCAACGCGAATATTTCTTAAATTATATAAACATTTATCATTTACGTCATATTATCTTCTTTATTTCCAGTAACATAGCGGCATGCCGCGGTAAAACTGCTGTCAGTGATAGTTAAACTGCATACGTCATGCTCAGGGGAGCTGAGACGCAAGACTACTCAAACTCTGATTAGCGTTGTCAAGTTCCATGTAATCTAGTCCAACCGTAATGGCACAGTGCAGCAGCATTAGACATTAGCAAATGAGTCTGCATCGTCTCTTTGAGATCAATCTCCTGAAAGCTTACTCCATTACATTGCTGGGCTGAGAGTGGCAACCTTGTTTTATAGACTCTGACCTTGACTGATAATGGGTGGCGAAGCATTACGTCTTCTCCCTATTACTGCAATAAGTGTTTTGATTGTGAAATGCAATGTTAATATATAAACACAAATGAAATAGACAGTCTTTGTTTGCAAAAGAACAAGCTTCAACCAGATAAAAGTACGTGCTGCAAATTTGTTGACAATGCATGAATCAAAGTATTATGATGTGAAATGACAACAGATTTTCTTTATGTCTTAACTGCTTCACTGCTAATCACTTTCCTCAGTGTCAGAGATAGCAATGTGTGCACTTTATTTAAGACCCGGAATACCAAATACAATATAAGGTCAGAACAAATTCAGTTCATAGGCTGAGGCTGAAAACAACAAAATAATCTAAAAGGGGTATTGACTAAACAGGGAGTTGTGGTCAGTTAATAGTTTGCAAAATGAAGACTTAATAACTGAGATTAAAAAATAAAAAACATGAGCGGCAGGTGGGGGCCCTAAATTATAATAAGGGGGGGACCTATTGTCCTCCCCTTTGGCCCCCACCATTGAGCGGCAGGTGGGGGCCCTAAATGAAAATGTGGGGGGAACCTATAATCCTCCCCCCCGGCCCCACCTCTGAGCGGTGGGTGGGGGCCCTAAATTACAATAAGGTGGGGGACCTATTGTCCTCCCTCCCGGCACCCACCCATGAGTGGCAGGTTGGGGCCCTAAATTATAATAAGGGGATGGACCTATTGTCCTGCCCCCTGGCCCCCACCCCTGAACGGCAGATGAGGCCCAAAATGAAAATGTGGTGGGGGGACCTATTGCCCTTCCCACGGCCCCCACTCCTGAGCGGTGGGTGCCCTAAATTACAATAAGGGGGGGACCTTTTGTCCTCCCCCTGGCCCCAACCCATGAGTGGCAGGTGGGGGCCCTAAATGAAAATGGGGGGTGGACCTAGTGTCCTCCACCCGGCCCCCACCCCTGAGTGGCGAGTGGGGACCCTAAATTCCAATAAGGTTTGACCTATTGTCCTCCCCCGGCTCCTACCAATGAACGGCGAGTGGGGGCCCTAAATGAAAATGGGGGAGGGACCTATTGTCCTCCACCCTGCCCCCACCCATGGGCAACGGGAGGGGGCTAAGTGTAAATACCCCCACAGGTGACTAGGGATCCCAAAGCCCCTAGTCACTCCCACTCCCCCAAATGTATTTTATAAAGACCTACCTACCCCCAATAAAACTAAATCCCTGTAAATAAAAAATAACTTACCATTTGAAGTCTCTTTTTTAATCTTAATTTTTCAGCCCCCAAAAAGGCCATATATAAATCCATAATACCCGTCGAACTTTGAAAATAAAATAAAAAAACCTGAGCACAAAAAAAACGGACGAAAAAATAACCTGACGCTAAAAAAGTAATTAATCTTCACCCAGCGAGGGCACCGCGCAGACTGAGCTGCACAGGGCAGGGAAAGGCTTATAAAGCCTTCCCAAGCCCCGCAAATAGGCTTAGAGCTCTCTGATTGGTTGATTCAAAGCCAACCAATCAGAGTGCTCGGACAGGTAAATGAAGAGACTGACAGGTAAGTCTCTACATTTACCTGTCACAGCACTCTGATTGGTTAGCTTGAAATTTAACCAATCAGAGTGCTCTGTGTCATTTTACACAGCGTGGGGAAGTTCTTTGGAATTTTCTCATGCTGTGTAATTTGAAATTTCTATTAATTTACTTGTCTTTCTGACGAATGAATGAATAGATGAAATTCCCATTCGCATGCCCAAGTGTTTAACTTGGCATGTGCAGGAATTTCACAGCGCTATCTAGTGTGTGCAGATGACGTGTCCCACAGGGACTTCATCTGCCCACACAAAGATGGCAGCGCCCAGGACCTAGGGCACAAAATAAAGATGCAAAAATAGGTAATATGGGAGGTTTAGGGGCACTTGGAGGTGAGTAGGGGGACAATTGTTGATGAATACTGCCTGGTGCTTTGTTTACATTAACTTTCTTTAGTTGCTGCAGGACTGTGTCTTACTTTGTCATCCAATTACAATTATTCTGCAAGTGCATACCTTCCTACTTAATATATACTGACATAAAATAGTTTATAATTTATATGATCAATTTCTGCCTTTTCATGGTCTTGATTAACTAACACACCCATCTCAGTTTTCACTGTACTTAAACCTTTGTTTTCTTTCTTTTTTTAGAATGTATGTACTTTCACATTTTGGGGGGGGGGGGGGGGGGGTTGTTTTTTGCTCTCTTTGGCTATCACTTTCTCATTTTCTAGTTTAGCGAATCTAAATGCCCTTTTGCATGCATTATAGGCTTCCTTATATTTTATATAGGATGCCTCTCGTTTGTCTGATTTAAATGCCCTTTTTCTTTATTTTAATGTCTTGTGTTATCTTCCCACTAAGCCACATTGGTTTCAGTTTGTTTCTTTTATATTAATTACCCAGTGGTAAGTGGTCTGAGATTTGTCCCTTTCTAATATTTGTTTGAAGATATTCAATTTATCCTCAGTATTTTCTTCACTAAATAGTTATATGTTTTAGGATACCCCATGTGCATTTGCTTTTTTGAGTCTATTTTAAAAGACACCATATTGCGAATACTATTTCCCGAGTGTTCCCTTACTGAAACGTTTGTCAAAAGATCACCACTGTTTGTTATAACCAGACTCAGACAAGCACCCAAGTTGTTGCTTGTACTAATTCTGATATGAAGTTATTATTAAAAATGTTCAAAAACCTGATTCCTCTAGTTTTTTAAAATGCATATTAAATATACTGTATTTTCTGGCGTATAAGATGACTTTTTAACCCTGGAAAATCTTCTCCAAAGTCGGGGGTCGTCTTATACGCCGGGTATAGGGTCTATATGGCTGCCGGGGGCGCCCTGCGCCCCCATCGCCGGCCCTTCTAATGCTGCAGCCACCTGAGCGCTCTATAGAGAGCGCTCAGATAGCTGCCGCACTACCTCTCTTCTCACCTCCCCTTCCCTGTGCAGAGTGGGTGGCTGAGCTCCTCTTCGTCCTGTCGGTCTGGCCGGGTACCGCGCGTTACAGGAGATTCAGTTATCTGTTACCGGCCGGACTGAAAGGAAGTGCACACTGAGTGCTCACTTCCTTTCAGTCCGGCCGGTAACAGATAACTGAATCTCCTGTAACGCGCGGTACCCGGCCAGACTGACAGGAGGAAGAGGAGCTCGGCCACCCACTCTGCACAGGGAAGGGGAGAAGAATGTAGGGAGGAATGGAGGGGGGGGAAAGAATATATCGCAATTAGCCTCCTGTGTACTAGACCAGCAGGCATGGATTATATTTCCAAACAGCCTGGCACATACCTGGGCTTTAAATGCTATTTCAGATTATCATTATTTAATGTCTTGCTGTGTAGCTCTGTCTGCTCACTGTACATCATGGCTAATTTTTATTTGGTGTGCATTGGAAGAGGGGTAGTCTTATACGGCGAGTATATCCCAAACTCTATATTTTAACTGGAAAAGTTGGGGGTTGTTTTAATAGCCCAGTCGTTTTATACGCCGGAAAATACGGTAATTCAATCCAGTAAAGGCACAGCCAGGGCAAACAATGCAGATGAGGAGGAGAGAGAAACATTGTTTTATTTCTCGCCCTCTCTGTTTGATTTCTCTATACTGACTGCCAACTGCAAAGTACAGAGCTTATAATAATGATTGACAGAGAGTTAATATGCCTGAACCAATATGTTGGAAGGACAATGAGGTGTGGATGTCTACATTTAATTTTATTTATTCTCACAAACACATATTTGTTAAATATCAGTGTAAGTAGAGATAATATTAAAAATTCTAGGAAGTGACAATTCCCCTTTAACAACTACTTTCTGTACTTTATAAGTTATTAATGAAGATGTCCCTTGACGGATTGATATTGATTGAAGGTATCCCTTTCCTGATGGTGCTTTGCCAGTAATATTTGACGATTATTTATTAATTAGGCAATACGTAAACCAAGTAATTATCTTGTGTGCCTAAATTCAAATTTAAATATGGCTGCCTGAATCACGGTTATTGCTGTGTTTGAATGTTTACATGCTACGACATCACACTCCAGTTCATGTGTATTTTGTTTTTCAGACAATAAAAGAACTCACAAACAGTTCATGCTTTACTGATCATGACTACATGCAGCTACCCTGACACTGTTCCTCGTCCCACCTGCTCGTCTCTGTTCATGTGCCAGAAGCAGAGACTACAAAAGGATGCTGTTTGCCACTCTGTATAAGACACATCGATGGTGAAAACACATGCTGAGAATTGAACTGAAGACCATGAAAGTAATGCAGTCATTTCTAACAGATGTATCAGTGCATATATAACCTTATCCTGAGCTGGGCCTCCGAGAACGAGGTCAGACACGGCTTAAAACCCAGCTGTCATATTCTCAAAACCAGCACGCACATCAATGGTGCATTACAATCCCTAATTGATTCATTGGCTGTAGTGTCATTAAAAAGATAAATTAACCCATGTGTTGATGTTGTTTTACTGAATGGTAAGCAGAATGCTTAGTTTACTTGCTGCCAGTCAGGATTTTTGCTACTCAAGGAAAAATCCAGTTTTCTGACTCTCATGTTTCCGACCCCCTCCTTAAAGACCCTATTTTCACAAATCTATATTTTCTTATTTTATCTGTATTCCAATTCATTCTTCGTCACAGTTTCTTCTTTTTTTTTTTTTTACTATATCTATCCCCTCTCACTCTGCACTTGCTCTTGCCAGACCTTTGACTGATTAAGTATTTATAATTCCACGAAAGGGACAAAAAAAAACCCAATGATGATTGATAGGAAAAAAGATGATTAATGGTTAGGGGACAGCCACTAAATGTTGATTTTATTCACAGCTCAAATGAAAAGTGACCAGCAGAGGGAAAAAAGGAATAGCAGTTAAAAAAAAAATCTGAGTACTTACATATTATATAATTAAAGGGACACTATAGTCACCTGAACAACTTTAGCTTAATGAAGCAGTTTTGGTGTATATAACATGCCCCTGCAGCCTCACTGCTCAATCCTCTGCCATTTAGGAGTTAAATCCCTTTGTTTATGAACCCTAGTCACACCTCCCTGCATGTGACTTGCACAGCCTTCCATAAACACTTCCTGTAAAGAGAGCCCTATTTAGGCTTTCTTTATTGCAAGTTCTGTTTAATTAAGATTTTCTTATTCCCTGCTATGTTAATAGCTTGCTAGACCCTGCAAGAGCCTCCTGTATGTGATTAAAGTTCAATTTAGAGATTGAGATACAATTATTTAAGGTAAATTACATCTGTTTGAAAGTGAAACCAGTTTTTTTTTTTCATGCAGGCTCTGTCAATCATAGCCAGGGGAGGTGTGGCTTGGGCTGCATAAACAGACACAAAGTGATTTAACCCCTTAAGGACGGAGCCAAATGTACACGTTGTGAACAAAACAAAATGTAAACAAAACCTGGCATTTGCGCTACATGTCTGTCCAACCGTAATTCACCTATTTTATAGTAAATGCACCCACCCTTATTATATATCATTTTATTCAGGGGAAACAGGGCTTTCATTTAATATCAACTATTTAGCTATGAAACATAATTTAATATAAAAAAATGGGAGAAAATACGATTTCTTTTTATTTTTTTAGTTCTACATGACATTTTAACGGTCAATGTCATAATACTGTTTGCTTTTACTGCAATAAAATACACATATTTGTATTCAGTAAAGTCTCACGTGTACGACAGTACCCCCTATGTACAGATTTTATGGCGTTTTGGGAAGTTACAGGGTCAAATATAGCACGTTACATTTGAAATTGAAATTCGCCAGATTGGTTACGTTGCCTTTGAGACTGTATAGTAGCCCGGGAATGAAATTTACACCCATAATGGCATACCATTTGCAATAGTAGACAACCCAAGGTATTGAAAATGGGGTATGTCCAGTCTTTTTTAGTAGCCATTTGGTCACAAACACTGGCCAAAGTTAGCGTTAGTATTTGTTTGTGTGAAAAATGCAAAAAACAACCAATTTTGGCCAGTGTTTGTGACTAAGTGGCTACTAAAAAAGACTGGACATACCCTGTTTGCAATACCTTGGGTTGTCTACTATTGCAAATGGTATGCCATCATAGGGGTAATTTTCATTCTTGGGCTACCATAGGGTCTCAAAGGCAACGTAACCAATCTGGTGAATTTTAATGTGAAAAAAATCAAACGCAAGCCTTATATTTGACGCTGTAACTTTTGAAAACACCATAAAACCTGTACATGAGGCATACTGTTGTACTCGGGAGACTTAGCTGAACACAAATATTTGTGTTACAAAACAGTAAAAAGTATCGCAGCAATAATATCGTCTGTGTAAGTGCTGTTTGTGCGTGAAAAATGCAAAAAACGTCACTTTTACTGGCGATATCATCGTTGTAATACATTTTACTGTTTTGAAACACTAATATTTGTGTTCAGCGAAGTCTCCCGAGTAGAACAGTACCCCCCATGTACAGGTTTTATGGTGTCTCGGAAAGTTATAGGGTTAAATATATTGCTAGCAAATTAAATTCCCTTTACTTTCGGCATGGGTTGTCAGGCAGGTCCTGCTAATTGTAATTAATTAAGATACCTAATTATGTAAAAATATTACATAAATATATATGCAGAATTAATATATGTATATATATACGTATGTGTATATATATGTATATATCTATATAATTTTTTAAAAATATTTTTATTTATATATAGGTATATATTTATGTATATAGATATATATATATATTATTTCGTTCTATGTGTATTTTGATATATATATATATTAATTTCACAATACAGTTAGAACGAAATAACACACATCTATATATTTTTTAATTATTTATTTTTAATTATTTTTTTAATTTTATTTTTTAACGTATTTACATTTTTATTTTGTTTATATTATATATAAATATATATATAACAATAATTATATATATATTTAATTAGTATCAGTCTACGTGTAATTTGATATTAATATATATAATTATATATATATTAATAGTAAAATACACCTAGACGGTGTACGTGTGTGTATGTATATGTGTATATATATACTTAGATCATATATATATGATCTAAGTATATATTATTTTCTTTTTTACACTATTTATTTTATTCATTTTTATTTTCAGCCAGCAGGGGGACCACCTGTCATTACAGGCAGTCCCACTGCTGGCGATGCTGCAGCCAGCTACCCCCGGCCATGTGATTGTGGGGTCCTCGCAAGGACCCCACTCTCACATGGCCGGGGGCTTCCAGGAGGACGGAGGTGCCGCGGGGGGCTCCCTGGGGTAAGTAGGAAAAGACCGGAGGGCGTACTATTACGCCCGGCGGCGTTTAGAGCCGCTTAGAATAGGGCGTAATAGTACGCCCTCCGGTCTTAAGGGGTTAACTCATAAATGACAGTGAATTGAGCAGTGAAATTGCAGGGGAATTATCTATACACTAAAACTGCTTTAATTAGCTAACGTAATTTAGGTGACTATAGTGTTCCTTTGATAAATATGTATATTTATTTTTCTGCTCCCCATCGTTTTCCCTCTATTGGTTACTTTTATAAACTTGATCTGTGAACGAAACCCCAGGAAAATGTGACTGTGTGTATAATTTTTGCAGTACACTGATTGACCCATTTTCACTCCCTTTGAGGTTCGTCCAAATAGTTTTGCAGAATATTTGATGATATTTGGACGCGCTGTACTATTAACTGAATGAGTCAGAGGCCCAGAACCAAATTGCATTCTCAGAAAATATATTTCAGCCAAACCAAATTTTATTCCACGATACTAGGAATGTGATTTTTTAAAATGGTGTGTTTTCTGGCATTCAGTAATCAGTCATTTTTCATGGTTTAACAGTTGCTTTCACATCTTGGAAATACCTCTAGCACCCAAATGAAACAGGAGGATCAAAAAGGTGTGACCACATTCAGCAGTTTGGCCAAGGGGAATTTTGTGAGTAGTCCAACATTAAATTATTTCAAGGGACACTTTAGTCACCAGAACAACTACAGCTTATTGTATTTGTCCTGGTGAGTATAATCATTCCCTTCAGGCTTTTTACAGTAAACACTGTCTTTTCAGAGAAAATGCAGTGTTTACATTAGAGCCTAGGGATAACTCCACTGGCCACTCCTCACATGGCTTCTAGAGGTACTTCCTTGACTGTGCAGCACTGCCATTCAGTGTCTCCACCCTCTGCATTGAGACACTGAAGTTTCCTCATAGAGATTAATTGATTCAATGCATCTCTATGAGGAGATGCTGATTGGCCAGGGCTGTGTTTGAATCATGCTGGCTCTGCCCCTGATCTGCCTCCTTGACATTCTCAGCCAATCCTATGGGAAAGCATTGTGATTGGCTCAGAGAATCACTTCTGATGATGTCAGCCAATCAGGCAGATCAAGGGCAGACTTTAACAAAATAAAGATTTGACTAGATTTAGGGAGGCAAGGGGAAGTGGGCCAGGTGGTAGTTTTAACACTATAACATATATTCCTGACCCAACAGTGTTCCTTTAATGAAACAATCCTCATTACAAATCAATTTAATATGTTGAACTGTTTCATTTATTCCTGCAGTGTGTAATTTATTCAAGAATAGCTTTCTTAAATGTTCCAGACAATTTGTAGAAAGTAGAACGTCCCAGGCAGTGTTTTGACTTTCTCTGTCACCACTTGTCTATTACCACAGAGAGAGGTCTACGAGAAAACTGAAACTGCCGAACATTACGTGATAGAGAAAGACAAACTAAGCTTCCTGTTCACACGCTTTCTGTAAATATTTTTTACTGGAACCATGAAGGATTTTCAGGAAGCTTGTTTTTCTTTTAGTATTTATCTCCTCTGTTTCTACTTTGGCCACAAAACAGAGAGACGAGTTATATCCCCACCGAGAGAAGATTGCATTTTGTTATATAGTTTGGCTGACAGTTTGTTGAAATTCTTAGTAAAAGGTTAAGGTAACAAATGTTTTTAGTAAATGAAACTGAGTAGCAAAGAAATCAAGCTGCCTCTTTCAATTTACTACATTCTTTTTTTTTCTCTGTAAAATCTTCAATTTATCATGCACTTTGCAGCATTAACTTTCTAATTATGTATTATTCTCTATTTCCTGTTTCTGATTCATAGCTTACAATCACATACAAAAATTACAAAAATTAAGATGAGAAATTTGTGAACATGCGCCAACTCATTTGCATTTAGAAAGAGGTGAGAGGCCAGGTTTGGCTTTAAGATTTGTCAGTTTGTACTTTCTTCTAGAAATCGAAATAGATGCAAATGATTCCCAGGAAAACCTGTAAGATATTGAATCAGGTATCTATTGCATACTGGTTGTGAATAGCATATTTTAATGCATCATCTGTGTGGCTATATGTAGCTGATGTA